ATCACTTGTGACCGCATCTGTGCCGTATGAAAACAAGTTCCCCGCCGACGCGATCTCTGTGTAAATGTGCGTACGGCCTACCCCGAAAGCCTCTACAGGTATATAGCCTTTAGAGTAGCCTGAGCAGATTAGTCATATCAAAACAATGACAGCTCCGATAAAGCAACATGCAGAGTCCACAGCGGTTCGGATTGCGACGATAGAAGGTGGTATCACCACTATCGGGATCAATAGACCTCAGCGAAGAAATGCGATAAACTTCCCCACAGCGAAGAGACTGTACGACGCATTTCTTGCCTTCGAGAACGACCCTCGACAAAAGATATGCATTCTGCACGGGACCGGCGGAACTTTTTCAGCGGGCTTTGACCTAAGCCAGCTGGCGGGATGGGATGCACAGACAGAAGGGTCTAGGAGCAAGGAAGGCAACGGAAACCAGAAGCAGGACAAGGCCGTGGGTGGCATTACTCGGTCCAAGTTTGAACCAGTCCGTGATCGCAACGCCGGGCCTCTCGGGCCGAGCAGGATGCAGGTAACCAAGCCTGTGATTTGTGCAGTGTCGGGACACTGCGTTGCCGGCGGAATGGAGTTGAGCCTGATTGCCGATATGAGAATTGTGGAGGAGGATGTGATATTTGGGATATTTTCCCGGCGTTTTGGGATACCGCTGCTGGACGGGGGGACGGTGCGGCTTCAGTCGATTGTTGGCTTGGGACGGGCGCTGGACATCATCCTGACGGGCCGTCCGGTTGGCGCCCACGAGGCTCTCCATATGGGTTTGGCGAATCGAGTAGTGCCCAAGGGTCAGGCGTTTGACGAGGCCATGAAGCTTGCGCGATTGCTGGCGTCAGTTCCGCAGGAGTGCCTGAATGCGGATCGAAACTCATGCTACTACGCTGCGTATCAGGCGCAGTCGCTAGAAGATGCATTGTCGTACGAGTACAATGGGGCCGTGAGGGTCGCTGACCTTGGGATTCGCGAGGGACTGAGGTTTGCTCGAAGTGAAAAGCAGCCGGCGAAGCTATGAGAGCGGTTCTCTGTGATATGCATAGAGAGACGAACGGGCTTCAGGGTCGAAACGAAAGACTTTGGGTTTTATGACTGATGCATAGATGCTACGACGGAATTAATATACCTAGCGATTCTTTTGATGCGGTCTTGACACTTGCCTTTGTATTTGTAGTCTTGCACAGCGCTTCAGCTTCCAAGTGGAGCAGATTGATGTCACTCCTGAGAATAAATCTGGGGCCTTTAGGGCTTGAGCAGCGTCTGGCTCCAGAGAGAAAATTCCCACCGAAAGGAGAGATATCGGTTGAATTGAACATAACAAGATCGAATTGCCCTGGTTGTCTGGTCCCTGACATTCGGGCGCGGCCTAGATCTATTCTCCACGACAGGAATACTCTAGACATACCAGGTCCAAAAGTGAACATCTCAATCAATCAAGCAAAGATGCCAGCCACAATCCGAGTCATCGGCTCGCTCAACGCCGACATGGTCACCGTGACCCCGCGCTTCCCAGGCCCCGGAGAAACACTGACAGCAAGCTCCTTCACCACCAGCGCCGGCGGCAAAGGCGCCAACCAAGCCGTCGCCTGCGGCCGACTCTCGCGCCCCGACCCCCGGTCCTCATCAGCATCCCCAGACGAAACCGCACCGCCCATCCACATCGAAATGATCGGAGCCGTGGGCGGTCTCGACGCGCACTTTCCCACCCTCCTGCAGCCCACCCTGGAGCGTTCGGGCGTGGACATCTCGCGCATCCGCCAGATCCGCGATGCGCACACGGGCGTCGCCGTGATCATCGTGGACAGCTCCGCCGACGGCGAGAATCGCATCTTGTTCTCGCCCGGCGCCAACTACGCTGGCATGCAGCCGACGGCGGAGGTGTTGGACCTGGCGCTGGCGGGGCGGCCGCGGCCCGATGTGCTGGTGGTGCAGGCGGAGATTCCGCTGGAGACGGTGATTGCGGTGCTGAGGGGGGTGGGGCGGCAGAGGAAGGAGGAGGAGGAGGAGAACGAGCAGGGGGCGGGGATGATGGAGGTGGTGTTTAATCCGGCGCCGGCGCCGGAGGGGGGGTTGCCGGTGGATGTGTATGGGGCGATTGACCATTTGATTATGAATGAGACGGAGTGCGAGATTATGGCGCCGGGGGAGCTGAGAGGGATTCCTGAGGTGGAGGAGCGTCGGAGGCAGATTGCACGGTATTTTCATGGGTTGGGGGTGCGGTATGTGGTGGTGACGCTGGGGGCTCAGGGGGTATGGTATAGCGCGGGAGATGCGGGCGGCAAGGCGCAGGAGGATGCGCAGGGCTGGATACGATGTGTAAATCAAGTGCCGGCTGCAAAGGTGGACAAGGTGGTGGATACTACGGGTGCGGGAGATACATTTGTGGGCGGGTATGCGGTGCAGATTGCCCGCTGGCGGGAGCAAAGACGGGCAGCTGGAAAGGGCATTGATGATATGACGGATGACGAGCGCAGAGAACGGTATCACAAGGGAATCGAAGAGGCGATTCGATGGGCCGTACGGGCTTCGGCTCAGTGTGTTCAGCGGCAGGGAGCGATGGACAGCATCCCCTGGCAAAATGAGATTTAAAGCGGGAGTGAGAGACAGTGAGATGCATCAATGGTAGATCAAGTTCAATTTCCAAGGGTGACTTCTCCCGAAATCCTACAAAGGAACGTCTGTTCATCAAGTAGAGCGATGCATGGCCTTGCTCGACACGGAATCTGCATCAACCATCCCAGACCCAGCACTCACGACAAGCCAAAACCATCCCACAGGCCATCCTGATAGTTTCCCACCTGAGGCGCCATCGACAAGTCCGCTGGCTCCGTTCGCGGGGAACGATTTACTCGTCCTTTCGGCAGCAAGTCCAGCAACCGGGATGCTACAATTCCGAGTCAGTATTACAATCCCCCCGGCAGCGCACCTGATAAGCAGGATATACCTTGCGGTAATGGGGGTACTGTTTCGATTTGCACTATGTCAGCAAAACACCAGCTTTCTATTATCAACAGAACGGTCTTGCACTCACCCAGTGATGATCAACGACACGCCAGCAGTCAACCTTTCTCTTCTCGCACATGTCCTTGCAGTGACGGTCGTGACCGTCGCCGCCGTCATGGTCGTCCATGGGGGTTGACATTGCGGATGCCACGGTGGCAATGGTGAGCAGAAGATATTTGAAGGCAAGCATGGTGGCAGATGGAGAGAGAAGATTGGGCAAGTTTCAAAGGGCGATTGAAAAAGTGCAATGATGGTTCACGTAGTGGTGAGAGTCTGCGGCTGGGAGATCAGTCCGGGAGCCCTGGCCGGGCGTGAGCAGCGTTTATATAGCCAGGAAGACCACCGGGTGCCTTTCAGAAGCGCTATCCACATGTCCTGTCTCTAGGTCGTCAATCTGCCGGTGTGTAGCACGATATCAGATGCGCGGCTAGGAAGTAACCACTATTGATCAGGTTGGCAGATAATCCTCACAAGATCAGAGCGAGCTTCTCGCTTCCTGATGGTCAAAATCAGCGTCAACGGGCCTTTTGGAGAGCCTGCTGTCATACAGGTGCAGCGGCAAGACTCCGCAGCGCCTTGAGAAGCAGACTGAGCGAGCAAGATTTGTTGGCAAGGCCTTGCACAGGGTATACGAAAGGCGTCTTCAAGCACACAAGATGGAACATCGGCCAGATCGCCGAGGTGTTTGACCAGTTGCTTGTGACGGTATGCGAGCCCAGCAATTCCCAACCATCGATTGTCAACGCACAGTCAGGAATATCGGGCAGCACATCCCATTCAAGCGGCACCACGCCGCTCAGAGGAGCAGATATGTGAGATCGCACGCAATTCTTTCCTCAATGCACAGTATGGCCAAATCATGACTCGATGGCGGCAGCCACAGATCGAGGGCGGCGATATCAAAGAGCACCCCAGATTGAGGAACCCACCATGCCATTCAACGACTTGGAGTTGCAGCGTTCACTGCCGCCCGTCCTGGTGGTTTGTCTTGCCCTTTCCCTCGTAATGGCCCCTGGATCATGGGCGCTAGTTACGAGGGCTTGGCCATCCCAGGTCCTGGCCGTCCGTGTCTTCCTTAAAGAGAGCCCCTGTTTCGCAACCGGAGCTCCCGTGAGCATCGAGCTGAACGCAGCCGCCGTGGATTGCTTTGGAACTGCAAATGGACGCTGTCATGGCTGTTCATGCACGATGACCATCACCGCCGCCAGCCAATCAGCACCGCCAAACCCGCGATTGCCATGACGACAGTGAGACACGCGCTAAACCCTGATAAGTCTAGCGTGACACGCTCTCGACGCGTTCAAAACACAAGAAGCGAAGAGGAGAAGCGCAAGAGACAGAAGAAGAGAAGCAAGAGACAGGCAGACAGGAGAGGAAGAGAAGAGAACAACACGCGATCAACACCGATCAACACGGCTCCCTCTCATTCAGAATAGATTGCGCCATTCGTCTGATCCTCGCTTCCCCTCCATCGACCGTGCCAATTATAGGTCCAGCTGGGATGCCGTCCTTCCCTCCGCTGACGCTCCATATAGTTACATAGACCACCAGGCTGCCCTTCCCCGCTCTCGCGTGTTGCTTCGTCCTTTGGCCCATCTCCCATCTGCGTTTGGAGCAGTTTCCTCTTCACACATCTCACTGATTGCTCGCATCAGCCTGTCTGTCGCGTCTTTGTTTCACAAGAAACACTGCCCCTGGACGTTTGCGACGGGTGACAGCTGGCGCCTTGCCGACCTCTTTACGCGTCTCAGTTCCTCGTTCGTGACGCTGCTCAACTGGCGTCCGTGCCTGTGGTTTGCTCTTCGATCTCATATCTAGTATCATCTGCAATTGCTCGCTGCCATTGAGCTGCACTTGTGTCGGACCACTCAATTCCTCAAGGTAATGCCCGCTTCCTGCTCCTTTCTACCTGTAGCTGCCAAGGAGGCAGACCCCCGTCAATCCGAGAAGCCCATGCACCTTACTACTTCTTCAAGGCTAATGCTCTGTGCTCGTCTGTTTAGAAAACCAACTGCTGAACATGGCGGCAGTCACTCAGCCAATCTCTCCGGCTTCGAGGCAGCCGTTCGCTGTGTTGAGCGACACGCGCCTTCGAGCCGTGGAGAGCGCGAAAAACCACCAAAATGGTACGTGTGGAGAGCGAGGTAGATGCTTGCCCTCCCTGCTAACACATGGCGCTAGGACTACGGTCCTCCTCTCTCAAGCGTCCACTTGACGTTTCTGATCTCTCGGATGCCGAAAACGTGGACCCGGCATCTATGGAATCTCCAACCAAACGGTCAAAGCTCCAGTTAAGCAGTGGAATGCCCAAATCAAAGGCTCAGTCTGCCCGCCAGCCGTCATCTATCACTGCAGAAAATACGGCTAGGTCGCTCGTGTCCACCCCAGTCCTTCCACGTGCTCTAGCTACATCGACTCCGCGGTCGGCTCCATTGCGTGCTGCGGCCGGCCGTTCTCCAAGGTCTAAAGTTGCAAAGACGTTTGCTCGTCGAAGCGCTGGGTTTTGTCGCGTGGATCCGCGATCGTTTTCAAAGCGTCATGCAGGCCGTGCTCCCTTTTCCATCTCAGATGCCCTTGCCGGCACATTCAGTTTAACCTCTTTCAACGCCGAAAAATCCAAGTCGGGCAGTGGCAGTAGCCGCCGGAAAGCCTGGGATTTTGAAATACACGTTGACAGCGAGCAAGATGAGATGGCGAACTTGATGGAGCATGGAACTTGCATGCTCGACATTAGCGACGACGAGTCCAAGGGAAAAGATCTGGAGCGGGAGAAAGAAAACATCCCACCGCCTGATTTTGCTTCTCAAGTGACTCCTCTTGGAATGCCCTCGCGTGCCTTCTCAAGTCCCGACGAAATGACAGATGGACCCCGTTCTCCTCTTGGTGAACTTGACCCTAAAGACTTTATTCCCGAGGGAGAAGATGCTTCCACTTCTGTGATACAGATTCTTGAGGACGAGGAAGACGATCTCAATCCTTCCGGCACTTCATCGACTAGCTCCGAGGCACCCCCGGCTCGCAGAGTTAGTTCAACTCCACAACAAGCAGCTTTACTAAAACAGGCAGTTATCTCTTCCCTCATCAAAAGCACCACTCCTGTTACCTCTTCTAGCAAGATGCCGAATACGCCTCAGGAATCGGCATCATCGGCCGTAGAGACTGAAACTGAGGAAACCGCTAGCCCGGCTGGTAAAACTGCTGAAAGCGATGGTAGCCCCAGCAGAACTGGCCCGCCTGTAGCACCTAGTACAACCTAGATGCTGATAATAACCTCCCTTGCCCAATCCTATTTGGCATCTAGCAATTTCACGGCAATCAACCAAACCCTCTGCCCTAATGAGTGCACTCCTAACTGCTTTTCTCTGTCAATTACCTAGATTTGTCACATTCCTGATGCAGTCCTTCAATCTACGTTTTGCGTGCTTCATTGTTAGTGTGTATGAGCAATGATCTGGTTTACCCTTATGACACTCGCTGAATGATGATGAGCAATTAATGGTCACGACGCTACTGAATTATGCCCTTTGAACCAAGTTGGCTTTGCTTTGAAATCAGTACTGTTAGCTATTCAATATTTTTGTGAGTCGCCTACTGCCATGGTTTGCCTGGTATTTTGCTTTTTGGCTACCTCTGAAATACTCGATTGGAATATGCGTGCCTTTTTCTCTCTATCTTGTGTTGATCTTTGGTGTGGAGTTGATTTGGGGGATACTTGTTGTCTACCATTCCGGCTTGGTTTGTGATTATTACTGGCGTATATACATGTGAGTTTGTAATCTTTTTTGAATAAAACACAACTCAGTTTACAATTCTGGAGTATCAACATATGGTTTGAGAGTGTGAGTTGTGCCATCAATGCCCAAGCGACCTTCAGTCATCTTCTCCCGCATCATCTTCATCCTCACCGGCTTCTCCATCTCCCTCGTCCTCTTCATCCCCTTCGCGCTCCGCTTCCTCTTCGAGCTGCCTCGCTTCTTCAGCTTCTTCCCCCTCCTCACCTTCATCTTCCCCCTCTTCCTCATCCTCCCACCGCACCCGCTTCCTACGGCCTTCATCCGCCCCCAGGCCCTTCTCATCCCCCTTATGTTTCACAGGCCTCCTCCCAGGCGCCGTCTTCAACGTCCCCCTAATCTCACTCATCATCTGCCAGCACTTCGCCCCGGCCTCGCTCGGGCTAAGCACCAACCGCGCAATGTCCTCCTCGCTCTCCGCATGCGCGGGCAGCGTGAACAGCGGCAAGAAGTCGTCGTCATCTGGATAACTCGCTTTGTGCTCGAGCATATGCTGGATCTTGGCGCGCATGATGGCGCGCGCGGTGGCAAGCGTCACGTTGCCGTACCAGCCCGAGGAGAAGGGTTCGCAGGTGGGCTGGGGAGGCGGAGCGTCGGGGTGGTAGGGTGATAGGCACCGGGTGACGATGGGGTCCCGGATGTCGCATATCATCCAGGTTTTGCCGTCGTGGGCGATGGGTGGATGGCCGGTGAAGAGATGGGATGTGTTTCCTACCGTTGCGTCGCCTAGGACTTGGGAGAAGCGCGGCAGGGTGTAGCGGCGGCCGGACAAGGGGGTGGTGTTGCTGGTGGCGAGCATTTGGTCCTGAAGGGATGGATCGATGTCTGCTGCGTCGGCGCTGGGAGGGATGCGGAACATCAGAGTCTGGTAGATGCGCGACTCGGGTGTTGTTCGTGGATCGTAGCCGAATCTGACGATTGCGTCGCGCCAGGGGCCGGAGCGGAATATATAGCCGACATAGGGAACAGCAGAGCGAAGAGCGTATTTCTGTTCGTTGGTTATCAGGTGGTTGCGGATACCGCGACGGGTCCAGGCCGGCCTGTCATTGAAAAGCCCTTGGAGGATATCAATAGTCTTCCTCAGCACTTCGTCGAGGGTGTCGATTGGTGGTAGTCTTTCGCTCGGCTGCGTTGGCACGGATTCCACGTCGGAGGGTACGAGGTGAGTAAAAACTTTTGCTATGCGATTCGTATTGATCATCATGGTTTCACCGGAGAGATTTATTGCTTGTTTGACGGAGGGATTTTGACGATAGCTATGTTTGAGCGTTAGCCTCGCAAGTAACAACCTTCCCCCCTGACGTTTTCGTAACAATCACTTACTTGTACTTGAACGGCATTTCGACGTGGCTAAAGGAGGGTGGGGGAACGATGTCAACATTCGTCGTAACGCCTTTGCTCATATCGAGTTCAAAATTCTTTAGCTTTTCGTCTACGACCTTGGTTAGCAGAGAGCATAGGAAACTAGAAGGACTTTTTTAGCCAACATTCGAACGGCAATATGTTTTTGCGGAATTTAGTCATAAATGGACTTGCTGTCGTGGAATACACAAAGTCCGGTATGCCTGTGATCGAAGGTCAGCCTGCAAGCTCTAGAATTGCTATTCCGGGAAAACTCACTCCTGAAAACATGAACTCGTTCAACTTTACCAACCACTTCAATATCATAGCAGTCTGCATTATCTCTTAAACGACGTAGCAACTGCTTAGCATCACAGCTCCCTGCGGCCGGAGGTGAATCAGTGGGTCTAGAAGCTGCATCGTCCCTATAGGGCTCCTGCGATCTACGCTTCCGTTTCCGGCCCGTTCTCTTCGGTACCGTCACCTTGAGAAGCATATTATTGGCTGGTTTAGAGGTCGAGAAAAGCGGCCTGCTCATCCCATCGGCTGGATTGAGCGTGAGAGTCGCAGAGGCATTAAGCCGCGATGGGTCGAGGATCTGAGAGACGCGGATGATAAGTGCGTTTGCCTTGGTAGACTTTTGAGGTGGTGGATTACCTCTGCAATCCCAGGCCCACGCTGAAGTGAGGCGATGGCTCGATCGACGTCCTTGACCACGCATGGGTGCTCCACGTCGACGATTTCTCGCGGGGGTATGGTGTACCAGGGGGCGGTGGTAGAGCCTTTCCAAGAAGCCATGACTCGAGGAGTTTGCCAGAGATGTAGCAGGGGTATAGGGGGTATAGTAACTGGCAAACACGGTCATAAGAGCAGACGTTCAAGAGTCGGTCTACAACATTGACATTTTGGGAGGTTCATTGTTCAGTAGTTAACTAAACAGCTCTCCCTGCATCTAACTTCTATATCGCGGAATGCCAAGACCAGCAAGCAAACTCAAACATCAATGACATAATCGTGCTTAGCTAAGGCAGCTCATGAAACATCAAACACGGCGCTAGAGTTAATTCCACCTCCCACGCTGTACTCCGTAGCGTAAATTATGCCCAGAGTCTAAAAGCTCCCTTCTGGAATCGGTCGCCAGATGGAGATTATTATGGCCTCCCCGACCCTCTGCAAGCTCTCCTCATCGACCTGCGATCTCTTGAGTTCCATTGACTGCTGGCCTTCCCTGGCATCTTCTCCCTGCATCACTGCCCTCGGTGACACGAACTCTCAGACCCAACGGTGGTGATTATTATTGCTGGCCCACGTCCTCCTTTCCTCCACCGCTTTTGCCTCGCTGGAGTCTCCCCGCCTCCTGTCTCCGTGCCTCAGCTCCCGTGGTAGGTGCGAGGTATCTCGTTTGAAGAAGAAGAACAGCCGCCAGAAATACACGTCGCCATTGTCGCTCTGCTCGCTTGTTCGAGGTATGTTGTTTTGGTTTGCTTAGGCGGGTTCTGCTGTCGACTGTTTACCTACCTTTGGCTCGATCTATCTGGCTGTGGTTCTGCTGCCCGAGTCTCCGGTGACTTCACACCTCAATCTCGAAGACCACCATCCCTATCCTTTTCCACTCCGCCTCTCAATCTATCGCATGAGTTGTTCTTAGGCTTTTTTGTTTGATCGATTGGTTGCTTTTTCTCTATATTTTACTATGATTTATTTTCTTTGCAGTCTCTCACTGTTGTTGAGATAGGTTCAGCCAGAGTAGCGTGGCTACTCCTCTGTGTGCCGCGAAACGGATCCGCTGTCCCACCTCTTTTCCCTCCGAGTATAAGAGATACCGTTGTGGATAGACATATCTTTAGCCAAATCTCTTACATGTGGAAGGAGATCTGCTGGCTAAAATGAAAGGATTCAGGCAGAGAGTGGTATGCAGATTCCCGGACCTTGATCCCAATCTCGTCGGCATTGTTTTCGGACAATCGAGGATGAACGTGAATAACAGTAATAGCATGAACAGCTTTCGCGCGCGAAAGACTCGAACAAGTCCTCGAAGAAGAAAGACTCCTCATCATCATCCAACAACGCCGCTCCCCCAAATCCCGTGCCCACTTCTGCTGGACAAGGTCCTTCTCCCACGAACTCGAACCATGGAACCCCCAACTCATCCTCAACAGCGTTAAATGATACAAAAGGAAAGGGTTCTGCGCCTCCTGAAAATGCCGGCCAGCCCCAAATGACCATTCACCACAACGCCCACGTCATGCCAAGTCCAGCGCCTGCTCCTCAACATTACACTCCTCAGCAACCTCATGGGGGAATGCATCCTGGACAGATGTCGATGAACGGGCCGGGAACCCCATCTCGGCAGGTCCAGCAAATCACTCCAAGCGTGATCATTAGCCCTAGCGCTCCGGTACGCTCTCCCTTTTCTACCGAGAATTTCGCTCTTAATCTCTCCTTATTGTCGTCCTTGAACGCCCTTGATCTTCGTCCTCGCTCTTGTTTTTGCTCAGGGCCTGATTGGAATCAACTTTACCATCTATGGCTCTTGATTTTCTATCGTTAAATGAGCATAGTTTGTTGCATGTCTGTCTACACGAAGCAAAAGGACAATTTTGTGCCCGAGATCCCCTTCATATTCTGCCCTTAGCCGCCAGTTGTGCGCAATCTATTTGCCCTCTCAGATGAAGGATGGTGCTGCTGCTATCATACCCCTTCACTTTCAGCCCTTTGCGCTCCTTAAACCTACTTTGGCCGAAATACCTCTCCACCCGCCTTCTACTCCTACTTAACAACTGTTCCTCATCTTGTCATTTTCACACACGTTCTTCTTCCGTCCTAAAGTGAGCTTTCGTCTCTTCACTTTTTCATCACTTCATTTCACAGGTCACTCACTTTCCAATTCATCTCAAGTGAATTAATAACCTCAGCACTAGCTTCCTCCTCCTTCCCCTTCATATCTATCCCATGTTCTTGTCTTATCTTTTTCTGTTTCTGCCTTCCATTATCACTTCACTTTGGTTATCCGTCCCATCTATCTTTCGTCCCTTCTTTCATTTATAGCCTTCCTGGAGTTTTCCCAATGTCTTCACCTGAGAATTTTCGTGGATCTTTTCCACAGCTGACAACAGACTCACAGCATATACCACCTCCCGGAGCTGCAGAAACAATGCCTGGTGACCTTCAACCGCCCAAAGTTGGACAGAAATCCCATGCTTTCGATCGGTTGCATACAACGCCGAGAGATGTTCCCGAGGGCATTCGAACTCCAAAGCGACAGCATTCTTCCCGCTTTGACATATCGGATCAACGCCAAAGAGACCTTGAAAAGCTTCCTGGATTTCATGAAGTACCGCCAAACCGTCGACAGGACCTCTTCATGCAGAAGATTGAGCAATGCAATATCATTTTCGATTTTAATGATCCGACCGGAGATATGAAATCGAAAGAAATCAAGCGTCTGGCGCTACATGAGTTGCTAGATTATGTTGCGAATAACCGATCCGTTATCACTGACCCAATGTACCCCAAAGTGGTAGAGATGTTCGCGAAGAACCTGTTCCGACCGATCCCACCTCCAGTGAATCCGCAAGGAGATACCTTCGACCCTGAAGAAGACGAGCCAGTTTTAGAAGTTGCCTGGCCGCACATTCAAGTCGTCTATGAGTTTTTCCTTCGGTTTATCGAGAGCCAGGACTTTAACACCAACGTCGCAAAAGCTTACATCGACCAACATTTTGTCTTACAAGTGAGCAAACCCTCGTATACTCGTTTAAACTCGAGGCTAATCTGAACGGTTGTCACAGCTCCTGGAATTGTTCGACTCGGAAGACCCTCGGGAACGCGATTTTCTCAAGACCACCCTGCACCGCATCTACGGAAAATTCCTGAACCTCCGCTCATACATTCGCAAGTCTATCGGCAATGTGTTCTTTCAATTTATGTATGAAACCGAACGTTTCAATGGCATTGCAGAACTTTTGGAAATTCTTGGCTCCATTATCAACGGATTTGCCCTTCCGCTCAAACCAGAACACAAGACGTTTCTTACACGAGCTTTGATCCCGCTTCATAAAGTCAAGAGCCTGAGTATGTACCATCCTCAACTAGCGTACTGTATTGTTCAATTCCTCGAGAAAGAATCCACTTTGACTGAGGAAGTAAGTGTATCACCTCCCATGTTTTGATTTCTATGCTAACATCCTATGTAGGTTGTACTTGGACTCCTTCGCTTCTGGCCCAAAACCAATAGTACCAAGGAGGTAATGTTCCTCAACGAAGTTGAGGATATTTTCGAGGTTATGGATCCCTCAGAATTTGCCAAAGTCAAAGAGCCTCTCTTCCATCAGCTAGCCAAATCAGTTGCAAGTCCTCACTTCCAGGTATGATCAACCCTGTCTACTCTTATTTCGTTTTCTTGCTGACTATTTAGGTTGCTGAACGAGCGTTATATTTCTGGAATAACGAATACTTTTGCAATCTCGTTGGCGACAATGTGGAAACTATACTCCCGATTATGTTCCCTTCGCTTTACGAAAATTCTCAATCACATTGGAATAGGTTGGTCAAATATACAGAATCCTTTGATTTATTACAGTACTTACAAAGTACAGAACGATACACAGTATGGTATACACCGCGATGAAAATGTTCATGGAAATAAACCCACAATTATTCGACGACTGCTCCCATGAATACCGGGAACTCCAGAATAGTGCGCCCGCTCGTGAACAGAATAGAAAGGCAAAATGGCAACGGCTGGAAGAGTTAGCACGCGCCCAACAGTCAAAGGATAAAGCCGTTCGTCCGACAAAAGTGCTGCCGAAACTTGCTTCCCACCCAGAGGACCCGGAGCTTATTACACAGGATAATCGGCAGCGGCTTAATGCTTTGAAGCTGCAGGATGAGGGCACAACTGCCAAGGACCCTAATCAGCCGCGACTGCCAGAGCGGGAGGGACAGACTTCGGTTAGTGGCTCATACGTTGGTTGATAAATTCCCAGCCGTTTTTTTCTTCCCAAATTTGCTTGACTGCCCTTCTTCATCACTTGATAGACCGTATTATTGATGTCTTTAGCCGCAATGATTCTAACGTTACATACGTTTGACTCAGAGGCACCGACGTGGATCGTTCGATGATTCTCGGGGACGGCGCAGTGGGACCGGCACTGGGCATAGAAGACGCGGCGAACGACGTAGCTCTGTTGGGAGTGGCAGCGGACCGTCGTCGTCAACGCCAGCAGTTACCCGCAGTAACTCCACCAGCAACATCATGCGAACGATATGATACGATTGTTCTTTGATGAAGTTCGAACATTTTGCTGATCTGTACAATGATGACATTTGGCATGAGCAAGCTGCAATGACTCCCGTGATTTTGTTTTACCTCATTTTCCCATGCACCGGCCTACCTGCTTTGTTATCGCCTTTGCGCGCCCTCTAGTTTAATAATCCCTGGTTTCTTGTGTACATGGGACTTTCTTTTGATGCTTTGATTCATTGTCTTCTGCCGACCATGACTATGGAAAATAGGACTGCTTGGACTGTTCTAGATCGCGTCAGGTTAGGGAAAACTGGTGCGGGCGGCGTTGCCTTGTTCCTTGGTCTGGGTTACGTTTAGGACCCCTGTGATGCGGTTTTCAGATACCTTTTGCAAATGGATTGATACTACGTCTAAAGAAATATCCAAGCGTATCTATCAGGACCTGCGTCTGGTTGGCTTTTTCCAAGCACGATGGTCAGTCAGTTAAACGCGCGTTAAGGTTACCGAGTACTCCGTACACGCCGCGGCTAAAGTTGGACAATAGATTCTCCGTACCGGCGCTAGTAGGCCACTATACCCAGACTATGCCTAAGCCAGCTTAGTGGATTTTACAGGGTCTCAGCGATCCCCCCCAGCTTCCATAGTCTCGCCAAAAGGTTCTCTCTCCGCGTTTATCAACATTATCCATTCGAAGAATCTCCGCCGCTACGACGTGAATCTACCATTTCTCATTGAGCTACTGTTTACTTGATCAAACAGTTCTTTCTCTAAATTCTACTTTTTACCTATTTTACTTTCTCCTATGACCCAGAACTTGCGGCAGAAATTCTCCCTCCGAATGTAAATTGTCGGCCAGAGCGAAGCAGTTCACGGAGTTCTTGCAACAAGCCGGCCTCAGGGCCTGGCAATAACTTGCTTAGCGTGGTAGCAGGGGAATGTGCCAGGGCCACTTATTGGTCTTATCGCGGCAATGGATCGCGACGTCGTGGAGCGCAATATTGACATATATGCTGCGAAGCTTGGGGATCCTGCTATAGGTATGTATTTCCTTTCTTTTTGGTGGTGGATTGCTCATCTCTACTGCTTGCATGCGGATGAATTGCTGACCGGAACTCCTTTTCTCTCTTAGAATCTAAATTCAAAACCAATGTAGCAGTCGAGCTGCGCGATTCCCTAGAGCAATTATGCTCCTCCGCTACCTATGCGACCTTCCTTACGAAACTATGGCCCGTGTTCAAGAAGATACTGAAGGGCGAACCGGTGTTTGTCAGTATGTCCTGGGAACAGGTAGGTCGAAATGCCCATTCTCGTGCTCGCAGGCTACCGACACTAAGGCCTTGCGGCATCATAGAAACTTCGAAACTGCATTTTGGAAATTCTGCACCGATTACCGTTGGACTTGCCAGACGTTGAGCCCTATGCAGCAGATACGGTTGACCTCTTAATGGAGCTTGTCAGAGTTGAAAACGAAGAAAATGCCGTTCTTTGCATGAAGACTATCATGGATTTGGAAAGGCGGCAGGTTCGCGCAACTCAAAGCAGAGTACAACCGTTCCTCGAACTTATACGGGATATGTTTGAAGGCATGCCTCAGGTTGTGAAGGACACTTTTGAGACTCCCATCCAGGGTTCTACTCCTGGCATGATGCCATCAACACCCGGTGGACCTCAAAATTTCCAATCCCCAAGACCTAGCTCCCCAGCTACTTCAGTCTCGGACCTTGCTCCCGAACAGCAAGGAAATCAGCAGCTACTAAGAGGCATGCAGTCGTTCAAAGTCCTTGCCGAATGTCCGATCATCGTTGTCTCTATATTCCAAGTCCACCGCTCCTTCGTCGCTCAGCATGTTAAGGTGTTCGTTCCGCTTATTAAAGGCATATTGCTCCTCCAGGCAAAGCCTCAAGAAAGAGCACACGCAGAAGCTGCAGCCCAAGGGAAGATATTCACCGGTATATGTAAAGACATCAAAAACCGAGCGGCTTTTGGAGAATTTATCACGGCGCAAGTCAAAACAATGAGCTTCTTAGCTTACTTACTCAGGGTATACGCGAACCATCTGCAAGATTTCCTCCCATCCCTACCGAACGTCGTAGTACGATTACTCCAAGACTGCCCTAGAGAGAAGTCAAGCGCTCGAAAGGAACTGCTCGTTGCTATCCGGCATATTATCAATTTTAATTATCGCAAGATCTTCCTTAAAAAGCTTGATGAGCTGCTTGATGAAAGAACTTTGATCGGCGACGGCCTTACTGTTTACGAAGCTCTGCGGCCCTTGGCGTATAGCATGCTTGCTGATTTGATCCATCATGTTCGCGAATCGTTGAACCGTGATCAAATTCGTCGAACTCTTGAGGTTTACACGAAGAATGTGCATGTCGACTTACCCGGAACAAGCTTCCAGTCGATGAGTGTGAAACTTCTCTTGAGTATGGCAGAGAGGATATCGAAGCTAGAAGATAAGCGTGAAGCTCGGTATTTCTTGATTGCCATTCTCGACGCGATTGGTGATAAGTTCGCGTCCATGAACCGTGAGTTTAAAAATGCGATCAAAGCATCAAAGCAAGCAAAGGAAAACCCCGATGGCATAGAAAATTACCTTGGGCACCCGGATAATCCGCCCGATTGGGATGAAATCGATATTTTTACGGCTGCGCCCATCAAGATATCGAATCCTAGAGACAGAAATGTTGACCCCGTGCATGACAACAAGTTTCTCTTTAAGACCTTGGTGAATGGACTAAAAGGCCTATTTTACCAGCTAAAGACTTGCAACCCAGACAACGTGAAAATAGATCCATCCAATACCCTAATTAACTGGTCAGAGGTATCTTATGGGTACAATGCCGAAGAAGTTCGTGTCATAAAAAAGTTATTTCATGAAGGAGCAGCGGTGTTCAGATACTATGGCGTGGACGACCCAGAACCTGAATTCCAGCACGCATCACCCTTGGAATTTATTACCAGTCAGTACATGCAACAAATGAGTAAGGAAGAGAAAGAGCTTTTGGAAAGCTTTGGGACAGTTTTCCACTGCATTGACCCCGCCACCTTTCACGAGGTATTCCATAGCGAAATACCTTATTTGCACGATCTGATGTTCGAGCACAGCGCCTTGCTTCATCTGCCCCAGTTTTTCTTAGCCAGCGAGGCCACCTCTCCTGCTTTTGCTGGAATGGCTTTGCAGTATTTGATGAGCCGCATCCAGGAAGTGGGTTCTGCAGACATGAAGAAGTCAAGGATACTCCTACGAATGTTCAAGCTCTCGTTCATGGCCGTCACTCTCTTCTCGGCGCAAAACGAACAGGTTTTGCACCCTCACGTTACCAAAATCGTGACCAAATGCATCCAGCTTTCTGTGACTGCTGAAGAGCCTATGAATTATTTCCTTCTTCTTCGTTCGTTGTTCCGAAGTATCGGAGGAGGACGATTTGAGCTTTTATACAAAGAACTCTTGCCTCTGCTTGAAATGCTCCTCGAAACTTTCAACAATCTGTTGTTGGGCGCGAGGAAGGTTCAGGAACGAGACTTGTATGTCGAGCTCACGCTAACCGTCCCAGCTCGTCTCAGCCACTTGCTTCCGCACCTCAGCCATCTAATGCGGCCACTGGTCGTCGCCCTTCGAGCAGGATCCGATTTGGTCGGTCAAGGCCTTAGAACCCTGGAACTTTGTGTCGATAACCTTACCGCAGACTACCTTGATCCAATAATGGCGCCTATTATGGACGAACTCATGACTGCCCTTTGGGATCATCTTCGACCAAATCCCTACAGCCATTTTCATGCCCACACCACCATGAGAATTTTGGGTAAATTAGGCGGTAGGAACCGGAAGTTTTTAAACCATCCCCCTGACCTCTCCTTTCAACAATACGCCGACGATGTGCCTAGCATGGACGTCAAGCTTATTGGATCCAACAAAGACAGAGCGTTTCCCTTGGATATAGGGATTGATTTGGCTCTGGGTAAGCTACTTGAAGTTCCTCAAAATCCTGCTGCAAAAGCTTCAGATGCCTTTTATAAACAACAAGCATACCGCATGCTTAGCTCACAACTTAAGCTATACATCGGTTTCGAGCATTTACCAGACGATTTGGCTGCATATTTGCGACTCCAAGCTAATGACATCACTGATACTAAATTCGCTGGTGGGCTTGATATCTTTGAAAAGTCCGAACGTCAATATTCAACCCCCAAAAAGCTAGCCCAGGAAGAAACTTTGAAGAAGCTTCTAAAAGCCTGCATATACGCTACGACAATCCCAGATCTTAAGCAGAAAGCATCGCAATTTCTTGTTGATGTTTGCCGACATTGCACCATTATCGAAGTCGGACGAGCTCTGGCACAGGCGCGACATTCGCGACGGCCGTTCAACGTGACTATGGGAGAAGGGCCATTATATTTGGACGCGAGGGTACTTGCTGATGCAGTGGTCGAATGCTATTCATCTGATCATGCAGCTGTGCGTGACGCTGCAAAGGAAGCCATGTTTACAGTCCGTGATACTGCTACAACCATTTTCGGATCGCCCGCAAAAATTGGCAAACTTCCATTTTTCCCTCACCTTGCCCGCTCGTTCTGCCATGCATGTCACGATGAGGAGTGGTTCATGAAAGCAGGTGGAAGTCTAGGAATCAATCTCTTCGTCACCGACCTCGACCTTGGCGATGCCTGGTTAGTAGAACGGCAGGCCGAATTCGTTCGTGCTTTGATGTACGTTATCAAGGATACTCCGTCGGATTTCCCAGCAATCACCCGAATCCGGGCACAAGAGGCCTTGGAGCTAGTGCTTTACAGGTGTACCAAGGGCCTATCAAAGGAGGAATTGAAAAATGATAAAAGCAGACTTTTTGGTCTTTGTGGGTTTCTTGTCCACGAACTATCCCACATGAACAAACATGTCCGTGAAGCTGCCCGAAGCGCATTTCAAACTATTGGTCGGACGGTGGGTGCTGAAGTTCACGAACTGTTGTATCCAGTGAAAGATCGACTCCTTCTTCCAATATTCAATAAGCCGTTGCGGGCGCTTCCTTTCCCTACTCAGATCGGGTTCATTGAAGCGATAACGTTTTGTCTTGGCTTACATCGGGATATCGTTACTTTCAATGACCAACTGAACCGCCTCTTGATGGAATCTTTAGCTCTAGCCGATGTCGACGACGAGTCCCTTGCCTCCAAACCCCATGAGATCAAAACGGCAGAACAGATCGTCAATCTCCGTGTAGCGTGCCTTCATTTGTTGTCAATGGCCATGAGTTTCCCCGACTTCGCGAGCGGACCACAGAATACTAGCCGTGCGCGCATTATTGCTGTGTTCTTCAAATCGCTTTACTCGAAATCGCCCGACATTATTGAAGCTGCGAATTCAGGTTTACGGGATGTGCTTACGCAAACAAATAAGTTGGGGAAGGACTTACTTCAGAACGGGCTTCGTCCAATTTTAATGAATCTTCAAGATCCGAAACGTTTGAGCGTGGCAGGACTGGACGGATTGGCGCGCTTGCTTACACTCTTAACGAATTATTTCAAGATTGAGATTGGTGCACGTTTAATGGAACATATGAAGGTTATCGCTGATGATACGGTCCTTGAAAAGGTTTCGTTTGGGCTAATCGAGCAAAGTCCGCCGATGAAAATTGTGGCGGCTATATTCAATATCTTTCATTTGCTTCCACCTGCAGCTACGTCCTTCATGGAGAACTTGGTTACCAAAGTGCTTTGGCTGGAAGACAAGCTTCGAAGGACTGCGAATAGTCCTTTTAGAAAGCCACTGATTAAATTTTTGAATCGATATCCAAAAGAAAGCTGGGCGTTTTTCCAGGTTCGGTTTCACGACGAGAAATTCGGTCGGTTCTTTGGGCAGATATTGGCTGATCCAGAAAGTCTACCTTTGAGGTCTGCTGTGCTGGCTGATACACATACATTCACAACCATCGCGTTTGGGCATACTGAGTCCCCTGCTCGAAACACGGCGGCCATTAATGGAATATATACAGTCCATTCGATATGCCGCCACGATTCCACCAAAGGCTGGCTGACCTCGAGCCCTGACTTAAAGCGACACCTCTTGAACGCCGGTAGAGACCTTGAGAATAAGCTTCGGGGAGACAAATTGCCAGTGAATGAACGCTTGAGGGCTGAGCAAGCCGAAGACCAGTTATTAGAGATATTTACCGTTTACCTCTCCCAAAACCTTCAAGACTTCGATTTTCTTTTCGAACTCATCGATAAACTCTCCTCGGGGGAGCTGAAATCTACGCTGGTCATCCCTAAGTTCCTCTATGAGCATATCATTTCGAACGACTCAATAGATTATCGAAAGTCGATTATCGCTCGCTGCTTGGATTTGTACGGCCAGCGAACTTCGTCGCAAAAATTGAAAACATATGCATTCCGGAACCTAGTCAATCCTATTCTCGCAATGGACGTGCAAAGGACATGGGGAAATTCTAACTCAGGCACGAAGTTGATGGACAGGGATATGACTGAATTGATCCATAATCGCCTCTGGAAGCCGCAACTAGGTGACATCAGCGACGAGTCTGCTCAAACGGGCGTTGATCATTCACGGATGGCTTTGCTCCAGCTATCAGCCCTGCTGATCAAGTACCATCATACTACGGTTCAAGAGACCCGCAAAGACATAATTAAATTTGCTTGGAGCTATATCCGCTTGGAGGACATCATCAACAAATACGGCGCTTACGTGTTGATCAGTTACTTCATTGCTCATTACGAAACTCCCTCAAAAATCGTGGTGCAAATATACGTTGCTTTGCTCCGAGCCCACCAAAACGAAGGGAAAGCGCTCGTCACACAGGCATTGGAAATCTTAGCGCCGGTTTTGCCGAAACGAATAACTCCCGTTGGAGATTTGAGATATCCCCTTTGGGCAAGGTGGCCGCGCCGTATTCTTGCCGAGGAGACTGCTAATTTGCAGCAAGTGATGAGTATCTTACAGTTCCTTGTTCGCCAACCGGATCTATTTTACGACTCTCGCGAGTACTTTGTTCCTTTAATTGTTCCATCTTTGGTGAAAATTGCTGGTCCCCCTAATCCCTCCACCGAAAGCAAAAAGCTTGCGCTTAATCTAATTGGGTTGATATGGATTTGGGAACAACGCCGGGTCAACAGCGACCAGCCTCCTCATTCCCCCAACCCAAGAAAGCGGAAATTTGAAGAGAACCAGAAGTCCCCATCAGGACCTCCAGGGCCGTTGGGCATGAGAGAACGGCCGGATTACATCATATCTCTCGATCTGAGGACGACACTCATCAAATACTTAGTGACTTTCATTTGTGGGTTGCCAGAGCGTTTCGAAGTACCAGCGAAGAAGTTAGTTTCACGGGACTCAACCCGGCCGCAATCGTTTGTTATGTATGGCGATATGGTCATGCGGGCTATGCAGCTACTGCGGGATTTACTCTCACCCGACTACTGGGCTGATGTGGATATAGATGTTTATCCAAAGGTGACTGAACCGATTCTTTCCGGGGAGAAAGCGGAAAAGCCAGAGGAGAAGCACATTACAGGAATGATCAATGCACTCCAAATCTTGAGAGTCCTACTTGCAGCCAAACCAAATGAATGGGTTGCTTCTCGCGTGTCAACCCTTCAACTTCTATTCGAGAAATCATTGCGATTGGACCACCCAGAAATCCAGGATTGTTTGCATGGTGTTGAAGACGATATGGACACTTCACGACGACTTCCCCCACCGGTCAAACGTGTTTTGGATTCTCTCCCCCAGGATCAACCAGCTGACGAGGAATCCATGGACGTCGATGATGCCCCCACAGAGTTTGCCGCATACTTATCCACTATCGCAACAGAGTCGCTGTCTGCCAACAACTACATATCAGCTATCAATATCCTTTGGACGCTTTCGAAAAGTCGACCAGCAGAGATGGACCAGCATATACCTCATGTGATGAAAGTTCTTTCGCAAAAGCTCGCGAAAGATCATGTTGCTGTTTACGCAAACAATCACGGCTCAAATGGCGCTAAAAATGGGAACGGAGAACAGGCTATCGCGGACCAAGAAGAATTTGAACTTGGTGTGGATCTCATCTTGAAGACGATTGACCTGATCGCAGTCCGCATGTCACATCTGGGCGAGCAAAGAAGACCATTCCTGAGTGTCTTGGCCCAGCTTGTCGAGAGATCGCACAACATCGAACTGTGCTCCAAGGTATTGGGCATGGTCGAGTTCTGGATATTCCATTCGACCGAATCCTGGCCAACCCTGAAGGAGAAAACTGCGGTCTTACACAAGATGCTGTTGTTTGAAACGAGACCCAATCAAACGATGCTGAAAAAGTTCCTAGAACTAGTGATTCGGATTTATGAAGACCCCAATATCACTCGGACAGAGCTCACTGTGCGGCTGGAGCATGCTTTCCTGATTGGCACGAGAGCCCAAGACGTTGATATGCGCACTCGGTTTATGACAATTTTTGACCGGAGTCTGACCCGATCCGCCAGCCGGCGGCTCAGCTATGTTCTTACGTCGCAAAACTGGGACACCCTTGCTGATTCTTTTTGGTTAACTCAAGCTTCCCAACTGGTAATGGGTTCGCTTGATACGATGACTTCCGCGAAGTTACATCCGGAAGATTTTACTCTACCACCAGTTTCTTTCTTATTCAGCCACTGTGAGAAAGACCCTTCTAAAGAAAGCGTTATGGTGGATAGCAATTTGGATACTTTAGTTGCGGAGCATCGGAATTTCTATTCGGAACTTGCTGATGTCAAAACTCGTGACATCCTTGAACCGTTATCTCAGTTGCAACATGCCGATCCGAAAGTTGCCTATACGATATGGGTGACTCTATTTACGATTTGCTGGTCAGCCTTGTCACGCGAGGAGAGAATCGATTTAGAAAAAGGCATTGTGACCCTTCTTACGAAAGAGTACCACCAGAGACAGCTCGATGACCGTCCAAATGTTGTCCAAGCTTTGCTCGAAGGCGTGATAAGAGCTAAGCCCCGGTTCAAAATCCCCCCGCATGTTCTCAAATTCCTTAGCAGGACATACGATGTATGGTACACTGCTGCCGTTGCCCTTGAGCAGTCAGCAATCAATCCTATAATCGACACGCCGACTGCACGCGAGAGCAACCTTGACGCTCTTGTGGAGATTTACGCCGGTTTGCAAGAAGACGATATGTTTTATGGCACTTGGAGAAGACGATGCAAATTTGTCGAGACCAACTCTGCGCTTTCTTACGAGCAACAAGGCATGTGGGACAAAGCACAGCAACTCTACGAATCGGCCCAGATCAAGGCACGTACTGGTGCAGTCCCATTCTCACAGGGAGAATACTACCTTTGGGAAGACCATTGGGTTATCTGCGCTCAGAAATTACAGCAATGGGAAATCTTAGGCGATTTTGCGAAACACGAAAATTTTAACGACTTGTTGCTCGAGTCGATTTGGAGAAGCTTGGATAGTTGGCAAGGTGATTCTAATCGCGAGCAGATTGAGTCTCTCGTTAAAGGTGTATCCGATGCCCCAACACCTCGCCGCGCATTCTTCCAGGCTTTTATGTCACTCTTGAAATTTCACACCAAACAAGAAAGTCCACAAGAATTCCATACTGTTTGTGATGAAGCGATTCAATTGTCGATTCGAAAATGGCACCAGCTCCCCAAACGTATCACGAACGCTCATATACCCATTCTCCAGATCTTCCAACAGCTAGTAGAGCTGCATGACGCGAGTGTGATCTGCACGAGCCTTAATCAGACCAACGAGAGGAATTTGGACACAAAGTCTGCGGAGCTGAAGCTTTTGCTGGGAACTTGGCGTGATCGACTTCCAAACGTATGGGACGATATCAATGCATGGCAAGATCTTGTTACCTGGCGCCAACACATCTTCCAGTTAATCAATCAGACGTATCTTAACCTCCTTCCCCCACAGACAAACAACGTTGCAAGCAATTATGCGTATCGCGGATACCATGAGACTGCCTGGATCATCAATCGCTTCGCTCATGTTGCACGGAAGCACCAGATGCCCGAAGTTTGTATCAACCAGCTTAGTCGCATTTATACCCTGCCGAACATTGAGATTCAAGAGGCGTTCTTAAAATTGAGAGAGCAGGCGAAATGCCATTATCAGAACCCCAAGGAGTTGAACAGTGGCTTAGACGTCATCAATAATACGAACCTCAACTATTTCGGGTCGCAGCAAAAGGCAGAGTTCTTCGCTCTGAAGGGGATGTTTTTGGCGAAGCTGAATCATACTAATGAGGCGAACGATGCATTTGGTGTTGCGTTGTATTACGATCTACGGCTTCCGAAGGCGTGGGCTGAATGGGGCCAATACAGCGATCAGCGGTTCAAGATCGATCCTTCAGATATGGAACTGGGGAGCAATGCAATGAGCTGCTACCTGGAAGCTGCTGGTCTTTATAAGAACCACAAATCAAGAAAGCTTTTGAGTCGCATTCTTTGGTTGCTAAGTCAAGATAACGATGAAGGAAAAATTGCGGGTGCCTTCGAGAACTTCAAAGGCGACACGCCAGTGTGGTACTGGATCACATTTATACCACAACTTCTCACTAGTCTTTCCCATCGTGAAGCTCGATTATGCAAAGCGGTCCTAGGAAAGATTGCTAAGCTGTATCCTCAGTCATTGTTTTTCCTGCTTCGAACATGCCGCGAAGACTTGCTCGGAATTAAGAAAAGTCAGGACCAGAAACAGGAGAAGATCAATCGGATGAAACAGCAGCAAAGCTCACCGCAGATTAAAACTGAAACTAAACCCGGTCCACAGGTGCCGGATGGAGTCGCAAACTCTTCAGCTGGTGCTGGTTCTCCTCGCCCGCCACACGCCAATTCAGCCCCCCCGATGACCGGAACGCCCGAAATTCAAAAAGAGAGACAACCTTGGGAATACGCAGAAGACATCATGGCAGGACTAAAGACAGCATTCCCGCTATTAGCATTGTCAATGGAAACCATGGTGGATCAGATCCATAAAAACTTCAAGTGTCCACCAGATGAGGATGCTTATCGACTCATTGTCGCGTTGCTTAATGATGGACTTGCTTATGTTGGACGCATGCCGTCCTCATACGCGCAGGATTTCAAGCTTCCACCCTCTACTGAGGCTAATATTACAAGATTTGCGGAAACAATCCTCCCTGCACATATCCGAAAGTCGTTCGAGGCGGATTTCGTCATAAAAAAGCCGACCATGCACAAGTATATTCACAAGCTTCGCAGATGGCGTGATAAGTTTGAGGAGAAACTCGACCGTCGCCCTCAATTTCAGTTCCTTGAAGCGTATTCACCGCATCTTAGCGAATTCAAGTTCCAGAAGTTTGATGAAGTTGAAGTTCCTGGCCAGTATCTGGAACACAAAGATAAGAACCAGGACTTTGTTCGAATTGATCGCTTTTTGCCCAACGTGGATTTGGTACGTGGAATTGGAGTATGCCACCGACGGTTAAAGATTCGCGGCCATGACGGTAGTCTCCACGCATTTGCTGTCCAACATCCCGCAGCGCGCCATTGCAGACGTGAAGAACGAATGCTGCAGCTTTTCAGGATATTTAATTGTGTGCTTCGAAAGCGCAAGGAGAGCCGTCGCCGTAATATCTATTTCCACCTTCCTTTGATGGTTCCGCTTGCGCCTCACATCCGTCTTGTCCAGGACGATTCCTCCTATATCTCGTTGCAAGGCATTTATGAGGACCATTGCCGTCAAACCGGTATGAATAAAGACGAGCCGATGCTCTATACAATGGAAAAAATGCGTGCTCTTGCAGAAAATAAGATGAATGTAAGTCGAAATTCCAATGTCAGTCAAATGTTGCTATCGTCTAACGCTTCCCAGCGCGCTCCGGACCACTCCGTTGTACTCCGCACGGAAATTTTCTCGGCTATCCAGCAGAGATGGGTTCCTAACACCGTTCTCTTGGAATTCATTCAGCAAACATATCCGCAGTACGCCGATTTCTGGCTCTTCCGTCGACAGTTCTCATATCAGTACGCTGCAATAGCTTTCATGACGTATATCATGCATATGGGCAACCGCTATCCAAGCAAAATCCATATTTCTCGTCGTACCGGTGACATTTGGAGTTCGGAGCTTATCCCGGCAATGAATAACGCTAAAGCGCTGTTCTACAACCCCGAGCATGTCCCCTTCAGGCTGACGCCCAACATTCAGACTTTGATGGGACCATTGGCAACTGAAGGCATATTTGCATGTGCAATTATGGCAATTGCCCGGTGTTTGACAGAACCACGGCTTGAATTGGAGCAACAACTAAGCATCTTCGTACGGGATGAACTGCTAATCTGGGCCGCGGCTCAACAACGTGTTTTGCCGCAGATGAAAGACTTGGTTCAGAACAACATTGATTTCATTGTTAATCGAGCGATTAGTTTGGCGAGCCCCCCTGAAGGCAACCTCCCTGCGAACCAATCAGTTATTGACCTTATTTCTAAGGCAGTCAATCCTCAAAGTTTAGCGCAGTGCGAGGCTCTCTGGATGCCCTACATGTAACTTTCTCCTGCTTATATTTGTCTATTTCCTTTCCTTTAATTCTTCCTCGGTGGCGGCTATTTTGTTGTTTCATACTGATGTATTACTTCGTTGCATTTTGACGAACATGGCGGGCTCTGCTGTACAATGACGGGATGGGAGGGTGGCTGGCATGGCGTTCTTGGAGAACTTCAAAGGCCCCTTGATGATTGTTCTTCCAGGCATGTAGTCGGAGGGATTATGATTTCTTACACCAAGTGATTTTTCGTGTAGGCTAGTTCAGCTAATAAATTCATTTTTGTTCTTAGGATCCGGTGATATATGTCATTTGAAACGCTCCGGCAAAAAAGGGGGTATATATGCGCATCCGTCCCCAATAAACGCCCAATCCAAGGAAAACACGACTCCTAAACTAAAGACGTCTTCTTTTTTATACCAAGGCCAGCCGAAAATGGCTTTTTAGGCCTTTTTACTCTAGTGAAAGATGGGGGTGGCATCTCTGTTGCACTCGGCGCAGGCGGATCTACTCCATCACTCTCTTCCACTAATCGCTTCACGCGCTCCCCGTCCTTTGTCATAAAGGCCCTTCGCGCGGCTTCTTCATCTTCCGCGTCAGCTTTTGCCTTCGCTTCATCCGCCTCTCGACTCGCAAGTAAAATTGCTAATTCTTCACCGCCCTTTTCGCCGCGTTCGATTCTAGCGTTTCTCGTTCTGATTTCGTCCAAAGCATCCGCCACCGCCATCTCGCGCTTTGAATCTAACATCTTTTCCTCTAGCTCCATCATTTTATCCCTCTCCGCCCTCTCTTCTGCCTCGTTTTCTTCCCTTTCTAGGCGATTTAGCGTCTCTTCCTCCGTTTCATTAGCGTGACCAGCTGCCGCTTCTCTCCAGGGCTCGAAATTCCTTTTTGCGCCCCTTTCGCATGTATAATCCATATTCTTTGGGTCTGTTTTGAAGGTGATTTCGCTTGAGCATCGTGTGCATCTTATGTAGAATCGATATATGGGGATATTTAGGTAACGTTCATCGGTGGTCTCTTTCCGAGCATTAAACTTCCGTCCCTTGTAGATGTACTCGCCACAATTAGTGCATTTAAGGCTGAAAGGTGCCATCAATCGAACAGTGAGCAGCCTTGGACCGGTCGGGCGCAAGTGCTTGGGTGTGCGCGTGATGGCCGAAGGGTCGAAATCGGGAGGGTAGTATTTCGTCTATGCGAGATTAGTGTCGTGGGTTACTGTAGCCGTGGCGGACATATACTTACAAGAACTTTGCGTTCAGACATGGTTGCCGGAGATAATCCTCAAAGCCCCTTGAGCGGCGATATACCCAGGTCTCTAGTTATAGAAGAGCGCGATAACACGTTCAGATGTTTTGATGCAATTGAGGGTTGCTGCCGGCCAGACTTCAACAAGATAAAGCGCCGCCACTATCACGTGATAAAGAGGATGCCAAGCCCTTAGTCAGCTCAACCAAACACTGTCAACGGGGCAAACAAGGCAAACATAACATCGCAAGAAGGAACCTCGCTGGCGGTTGAGATGCACGCGGTTGACCTTGAGTTGATAGGAACCAAGCGGTTTATTTGCTGCTCTCACCAGTTATCTATGTGACGTCTGCTCTATTTGATGATGCTTAAGTGACCTCGAGTCCGCTGCTACTCCGCGATCTAACGCATTTGGTGATTATGGAAGGCTTCCTGCGGAACTGGAGACAGGAGGCGCTCAACAGAGGACAGCACGATGCCGCCATTTATATAGGCGATAAAGTATTGGCACTCACAAGTAAGCTGGGTCCCAGGGCTTGGTGGCGTAAACGGGTCTGGCATGGCTGACAAATTGTTTGTGGCTCTAGACAGCGACAACGATGCGTTCTGGCTGGCGCAAGTCCATTTTTCCAATAACAATTACACGCGAGCATTGGCGTTTTTGACCAGGAAAGATCTGATCGCCCGGAGCTCGTCTTGCAAATACCTCGCGGCACATTGCTATATCAAACAAAACAAATATGAGCAGGCACTCCAGGTTCTTGGTGAACATAACCCCACACACCTCATATCAACCGCCAGCAATAGCCGGCGGAAACTCCAGCACCGAAATGGAGGCTCCCATATTACGCTTCGAAATGGAAAGTCTACGGCATCTAGATCAGATAGGATTGAACGAAGTGAGGAAAGAGAGCGAGAGGATGCGAACCACATTAAATTCGAAGCGGCCATGTGTTACCTAAGAGGGCTATGCTATGCCCGTCAGAACGCCTTTGACCGTGCGCGAGATTGCTATAAGGATGCTGTGCGAATCGATATTCAGTGCTTTGAAGCGTTTGATCAGCTTATGAAGAACTCTTTGATGTCGCCCGCCGAGGAGTTAGAGTTTCTTGAATCGCTTGATTTCGATTCAATTAACCCCTCCTCCGACCCATCGACGTCACAAGAGGCGGCTGAATTTGTCAAATTGCTTTATACGACACGGCTATCCAAGTATTCGTCTCCGTCGGCCATCTCTCACGCCACCGAGACCCTATCTACACACTACAATCTCGCAGAAAATCCTGATCTTCTTCTGTCTCGCGCAGAAACACTTTATACCCAGTGTCGATTCCCCGAGGCCTTGGAACTGACTTCGTCCATTTTGTCATCTTCTGCTTCCGATTCTCTGGCTACAGCTACTTCGCAGGGAGACCAAAGCCGTAGTATTGGCCACTCCCCAGCAGTTTATCCACTGCATCTTGCTTGTCTTTATGAGACCGGTGCGACCAATGCACTGTTTTTGCTGGCTCACACGCTCGCTGATAATTCGCCGGAAGAATCGTATACTTACCTTGCTATAGGGGTATATTATCTGTCCGTCTCGAAGATTGCCGAAGCGCGAAGATATTTCTCCAAAGCCTCCCTGTTGGACCCTCATTCTGCCCCTGCGTGGATAGGGTTTGCTCACACGTTTGCCGCTGAAGGCGAGCATGACCAGGCAATCGCAGCATATAGCACTGCCGCAAGGCTATTTCAGGGGAGCCATCTTCCCCAATTATTTCTTGGCATGCAACATCTTGCCCTGAATAATATGTCTCTCGCCCATGAATACCTCTCTGCAGCTTATAACATGTCGTCCAGCTCCCTATCTAGTAGTTCTGGGACTGCGTCACTTTCATTCAATTCCAGTGATTTACAATCGTCCCCACCGATTGCTGGTGATCCTCTTGTGCTCAATGAAGTTGGGGTCGTTCTGTATCATCAGGCTAAGTTGGAAGGGGCTATTGAACTCTTTCGGCAAGCATTGAGTCTAGCTACTTCGTTACAATGTGATCCAGGCGCATGGTTACCGACGCGAGCCAACTTGGGACATGCACTACGCCGCCTTGGTCATTTCGAGCAAGCTCTGCAGGAGTTCGACGAGTGCCTTAGGATTGGTGCTGGTGGTTCTGCGACTAGCCATATTAGCAAGGCTGGAGTGGCGCTTCCTGCAGGATCTGCTGCTGCTGTTGCTGGCTATGAAGATCGAGGCCTTGCCGGTTCTCTACACACTGCTCGTGGGTTGGTTCTGCTGGAACTAGGTCGAACAATGGAAGCTGTTACAGCCCTACATGAAGCCGTTCGTGTGCTTGGTACAAGCGGTGGCGACGCTGCTGCAGGTGCAGGAGTAGCCGGTACATTACTTTCAAGGGCACTAGAAATCTGGGCCTTAGAAGCAGGACAGGACGCTGTCTCTTCGTCTCCGGAACTTACAGAACCCAGCAACTCCGGCAGGACGAAGCCATCCGGCTCAAAAGGAAAGGAAGCGTCTAGGGCTAAACCATCGAACCAAGTCGGCAGGAAGGCTAAATCGCGGAAGGCAGCTGTCGTATCCCAGGAATGGACGGATGACGTTGTCGACCGTGAATCCCCAAACATTCGGGACGATCAGCAGACTGTGGCGATGGAATTGGATGGAGAAGCTGACGGTATACTTAATCACGCTCTGGCACGAATAAAGTCCAGGTGTTCGAGAAGGCGAGACGCCGGACTCACTCCTAATAATGGGCAGGCCGTTGATATGCCTAATTTCAATGCGCTTACTCGATCGACGAGAGCTTCAAGCAGGCGAAAGAGTCCCACGCGACACGGCCCTGCTGGATGATCATTTTTCCACCCTCCGATTCTGTTGACCTAATAGTTGGAAAACTTCTCCTTTTTACCCTTTTTCTAAAACCCATGATGCATTTTCGAGCTAGCGATTGCATGGTTGGAGTTTGGTACAGGCAGTGTGCCTATTCAAGTTTTCTTCGAAACAATTTTCGCTCAGATAGATGTGGTAGGAATGATCATAGCTTCATCGTTTGCATGTATATCAAGTCTTCTCAGTTATTTGAGCAATAGGGAAGATGTCATATATATGTATTCGGTATTCGCAAGCAAAACAGAAACTTATCAACATTTATATCCGTCTTTTCATGATCTTCCACATATAATTACAGTACTTTTCGCCGACCATAATGACATAACAATTTCGAAGCTGCTGGTTCCCCGGACCGCACCCGATCAACGCCATCATGCTTGTCCCGAGATTGCCGTTTGTCCATCAAAGTCCAAGTTAAAAGCGAAAATGAAAACTAAGCAAAACGAAGATCAACACCCCTATTCCAACACCAATATATCCATGGTATAACCGTATGTGCGATGCAATAGATATTTGTATGTCGAGGTGCAGTGACGCAAAAGAGGGGAGAAATGCTAATGATTGGACTCTCATGGCCATAGCGGAGGATGGATGTATTCCGCAGCGCGGTCTAACAAGTTTGGAAGATTCCATTCTGAACTTCCGGAACTCTCTGGCGTCGGCGGGGGCAGGGAGCTACCCCGCGGGGCGTTTAACTGGCTACTCAGCCCACTCACAGACCCTGATGGCGTAACATAGCCAGAAACATTCACACTAACACCTGGCGTCGAAGAAATAGGTGGTAGTGTTCCGAGAGGCTGCGCCTGCTGTCTGCTGTGCATGCTGAATGCCGCATTCAATTTTTGCAAAGCGCGGAGCGACTTTGTGAGCGGCCTCTGCCATTGAGTTTCCGTGTCTGAAGCAACAGAGGCAGGCACTGTCGACGTCGTTGAAATCTGTGTCGGATCCAGCGTTGACGTGGGAATGTTTGTCACACCATTGATAAGATGGGGCGAGCCTTCAGACACAGGGTTACTAGTGCAACGTGTAGCAGCTTTGTCTGTGGCGTCCGCTGCAGTCCGTTCGGCAATGGCATGTTCCAGTTGTAGAAGCAGGTAGCGAATTTGTGGGTCGGATTTGGCTTCCTCCAGGACGGCCAAAAGGAATGCGGAACTAATCGTCCGTTGCATGCTAATCCACGATCTTGAAGCTTGCGGGTTAGCTGCATGTAGTTCTACATAGGCTTCACGGATCTGCTGAGTGCTGATGCACTCTTTCTGATAGCTGCGTGATGTGTCACTGATCAGCGTGCTTCAGAGCGTCGCAAGCTCTGATGCGATGTACGAAGAATGTAACTTTAAGCCGATTCGTTGCAGGTTCTCTTTTGCCGTGGTGCAAAATTTCGGGTCTCTCAGGTGCGGGGAAGCATCGGCCATGATTCGCTTGATCTCTTCCCTATAGGCTCGAATGACGGCAAAGCTCATCTGAGCCTGGGGAGCAATCATGCGACTGCGAACGATTTCAAGAGTCAAGGCAATTATCCTACAAAGGGTTTCGAAGAAGGACCGGTTGCCGGGCTTTGAGTCTGCCTGGTAAGGTATATCGGGATGGCCAAACGCCATTGTCGACGGGCGGTCGTAGGACAATGAAAAGTGACTATCTTGCCAGGCAGTTGACCACCTTTCTAGTAATTAGACCACGCAACTTTGAACGTTTCTTTCGAGAGGCGGAAACTTACCATACTTTCCTTCGGATATGTTGCTCGGTGGGGGAGAATTTGTGGGACTCAACCTGGAGGCCAAGAGATATCACCATTCTCAAAGTCATACCTTGCCGAGTCAGCCGATGTTGTCGAGATGACCATGGTGACTACTAACCTAAAAGAACATAGGACGCTCCCGGATTCATATTATAAGAAAGCACATTCCCGATGATAAGCAACGTCTGAATCGCTTGTAAATTGGGCTGTGATACAAAGTTCATTGCCCGTAAGCATTGGTAGGAGCAGCAAACTGGCATATATTAGCACGCTCTCCATTAATATGTTCGGATGACGCACCGTAAACCTGAGAAGTCAGCTCTCGCTCTTTGCCTGGCATCTCAGACGATTGACAGCCCGCAGCAAGTACAGCAAATAAGAGGCCTATAAATGCTATGCTCATTCCGAATGGCCTATCGATAGCCTCTGCAGTAACCCCGTTGGCTCTATTCCGGAGGAACATTTGTAGGTTTTCTTCAAAGTTGCTCATATCTGGTATGACAGGATACAGGGTAGCTCCAATGTCACGATAACAACTGGAAAGTCTGATCATTGGGAAAAGAGAGACCCCATTAGCAATAGAAATGAATGGGAAGATCCTTTGTAATGGGTATGAACTGACCTGTAGCACTGTTGGTCGTCTGGCAGCGCGCTGCAAACAGCATTGATATCAAACGTGGAACTGTTCGAAGACCAGAGATCGATAAAAGGATACGTAACCAATTCGTTGTCAAGGCCCAGCTTTGGGAGAATGCCTCCTTCGCTAATGGCCTGAGCGGCCTCTTGCGAAGTGCCGGAGCCAGCCAGGATGTAAGCAAGCACGGACCTCGAACCCAAATGGATTGTTCCATTCCCCAGCCCGTTAGCCGCGTGAATGCCTTCTCTGTCAGGCGAAGGAGGCTCCTGGCCCGCGGACATGTGGTCGCTTCGGATATCCGACGATGCACCAGGCGCAAAGTCTGCGCGCTCCAGGCCCATGCGAAGCGACGAAATCGTCTGTTCCATTTCTTTCAGTTTCAAGCAGACATTGTCCCATTCGTCTTTTGACAAAGACACCCTATTTTGATCAATGGAAGCCATGGGTTGGGCGATTCCAACCCCAACTGCAGCGGTCCCGCCATCGCCACCTTCTGGTTTCACAAAGGATTGAGGAAGTACCTGGCGCTTTTTGGAGGGCCGTTCGTACGAGCAGAGATCCGCATGGTCTCGCTTGACGCAGCCATCGCACGGGAGATTTCGATCGCATTTGACCTTGCGAGTGTGGCAGGGATAGCAGGCCTTGGGCTCACGAGCTTTGCGCTTGGTGCGAATAATGGCATCCACTTCGGCCTGGGGAAGATCAGAGACGGGCGTCGAGAGGGTCCGCATAGGCGTGACAGCCGATAGGGTATTCAATGGCAGGGACATGGCACCAAACGGAACCGCAAGGGACGTGGTTTGCTGAGTCGGTTCAAATCACATGCTTGCAAAAAGTCCTGTTTGGACGTCGGCGATCTGGCGATGACATCGACAGCGGACAACGGCAGGGAAGCCGCTGACTCAGCACCCCCGGCGCCACGGCAGCGCTAGGCTACTTTGGGACTAGCACAACTGGAAGCGGCAATTAGAGTTTGGATGACGCGGTGGCGCAGGTCCGAGCTTATCTGTGGCTGGTGCCGTGGGACCTCAACTCCCTCACTTTATATCTACGGAATACGCAGGACATAAGGCAGGGTCTTTGTATAATGATTATTGGTATTATCTCGCTTTACAGAACAATTGGAAAAGGCAAAGGAATTAGGCTATTGCTTTGAACCCGACATCGCTTGCAAAACACAACAACACGCCAAGACGAACGCAATGTATCAAAATCGGGGTAACTCGTTTGAAAATGTTCGAGGTTAAAACTCGCTACTGTGCTTTTGACTGCCACCTTACTTTTTCTCTGTCGCTGCCGCCTCTTCTTCATCACCGGCATATGCGAATTTGGAGTAGCGTCGAATAGCCTCCCCCTTGTAGTAAAACAGGAATGGAATCGCGCAGCAGGCTAGTGCCAGGAACGCAAGGAACGTGCTGGCCCACTGGTAGCCCATGCGATTATACATCTGGTTGGTGAACAGCACAACCGACGCGCCCCACATGGATCGCAAGAACGTTTTCGCCGCAAGAGCAGATGCTGCCTGGTGTTGATATGTATCAACTGCAAGCAAAAAGTCAGTAGATGTCCTGGACACCGGTGCAAGGAGTACTAACCCAGATAGTTATTGCAAGAGTTGTACAAGAAGATGAACCCGAACCCGACTGGGAACCCTCCCATGGCTGGCCCCAGCCAGTGGACATCAGGATATGACGTCCATGCGAAGATAAACAGCCCAATAGGGACGAACCAGCACGACAGCATCATCGGGATTAAACGCATCTCTGGCGGTGGTTTTCCGTTATATTTGGCACATATCGATAGATAATGCTTGTTCACAAATGGCGCGCAAATGGCGCTGAGGAGCACGCCAATAGCCAGCGGAATAAACATGAGACCCGTGATACTCGCAGAGTACCCTTTTCCGATTTGATAGACGATTGGATACCTATAGAGGTGGGGTGAGCTTTTCGAGTATTCTTTAGGGGCGTGGATGATGCTGCAGCACTTACGCGACGAAAAACATATAGAGGAGGCCGTATAGAATGGACATGTAGATGGAAAGAAGGAAAACAATCAACTCCAGAAACAGGAGTTGAAACGGTCGGATAAGGAAAATGCGCATCTTTTGGCCCATAGGCCGCGAGTCCAAATCTTGCTCCGTGACGTACTTTGTATTTCCAGTCTCTTTTCGCATTTTTTTGGCTCGTTTCGCAAGGAGGGTTGGTGTGTAGGTCTCCGGCATAGTAAACGCCAGCAGGGCGAATACAACGCCGGACATGATAAGCTGAATCCAATAGAGCCATCTCCATCCCTTGTGATCGCCCAAGAAGCCACCAACAAGAGGACCAATGGCCGGTCCAATAAATGGTGCAGCGCTAAACGCAGCCATGGGAACACCTCTCTCTTCGTTGCGCCACATGTCTGCAAGTGTGCCACCTACTAAAGTCATGGGTGCACTGAATGCAATGCCATCGATGGCACGGCAGGCCAAAAGGGTGCCAATGTTTTCCGCTACGGCACACGGAATCAGAAATACCACGGCAATAAACATTGTCACGACGTATACAGGTTTTCGACCAACCATCTCAGACAAGGGGGCAAATGCCATAGGTCCTGGAGAGAAACTTAGCATGTTTTTATATAGCTAGCAGACTTACTAGCAGGGATTCGTACCAACACCGAAACCAATAACGAACAAGGTGATCGTTAAAAGGGATACTTCTTCAGAAACACCAAATTCCTTCTCAACTCCGATCAGATCCGCCGTAATGACACTGCTCGCAAAGGCCACCACGAAGCAAGTAAACGCAACTACCATGGTATAATACCATTTGTACGCCTTGCTCCAATTTTTCGGGTTCTCTGGATCGCCAACTTTGAAAGTGACAAGCTCGTAGTCTTCAATCTTCCCCGTGACGTTCGATCGAACAGGCCTGGTGATCTGGCCGTCCGCCGTCTCCTCCGTGTACTCCTCAAAGGCGGCATCATCATTGAGTTGGCGAAGAGGTAGGTCTCTAGGATCGATGGTACCCGGGACCTCGACCGAAAAGGTTCGAGACGTTCGAGCTGACATTTGGGGGCTTAACGGCCTTGCCATTTTGACTGACTGTCAAACTGCAACACGAGAGGAAGTCTTGGAAGGGTCCAAATGATTCCATATCGTGGGTCGTTAAAGGCGGTATATATATATATATCCATAGTTCATGTGGACTCCAGTGGTTCTGGAAAAACGGCATCCCGTCCATGGGAACCATAAGAATTATTTCCAGGTAAGTCAATGAAAGTGTCCCATTCCATGAGGTTTCTGGAAGGGTAAGCGGCGAGTAATTGAGCACACAAGGGCGAGGGACTCGGGAAACACTCGGTGTCCCCTCGGAATTGCTAACTTTTCATGCCAATCGCTAGTATTAATAGAAAAAGAGGGCAAGGTTCCAGGAACCTCGCTGAGGAACATGATTTACCTTTAGCCGTTTATCCATTCTTGCGTCATGAAGGCCCTTGCGTGACTGAGAGAATCATAATGTTTTCGCCAACGCTTTTGTTTCTCTCATGAGTCAGGTCAGCAGTCTTTCGACAGGACATTCCTATTGACTTGAAATCTGACCGTACCCTTGATCTTGTCAAGTTCAGCGAGTAGCACCTTTCTTGGTCATATTGAAGAAACCTGGGTTTGCAAAGAAGTTCTTTAGGGTTGCATCATCCTACCTGGACATAACCAAAGATGGAGCTCAATAGCATTGAGAACCCGAACGCGTGTTCGAACAGGTAGCAGCGCAGAGACTGGCACAAGATTTAAAGGCCAAGAATTGGCATGAAGATCAGGCACAAAATTGCAAGCTGGTAGCTCTTCCCGATTCCGTTTTATCCATACTTCAGGGCTTCTGCAGACTCGTGCAGAGTGCCTGGACTGGTCAAAACGGTCCACTTGCCTCAAGTCCCGGGTAGAACGGAGCATATGCTCTCATCGTGTCAATCAAAACCCAGAAAACCGGAGCTGTCATTCCTCAGCAGTGGAACATGTTTTTTGCAAAATTCGAAACCCAGGTTATCAAGCTCCATCAGCGGCGTTCTCTCGGAATGGCTGCATAAACGGCATATCACATGACTGACCGTCCTTATCTTATCAATCAGATCTTATCACACGTGAGTCTCCTTGTTTTGAGCTAATACGGATAGGGACTAGCGTAGTTTCTTATCAGCAATCGGTCATGTGACGCTGGATTTTGCCATCGAAAAAAAAAGAGCCAGACCGCCCGGGCTTGACGACGACGGACGGGAGTCCAGGAAGACAAGCAAACAATTGAGAGATTGAACGAGACAAGCCCGGCATTCTGCTTTACTTGATAACAATGCCCCTCTATATCTTACTCTCCTTCTCTTAAGGCTCCCACTTCCCGGAAGACTACCCCTCCATCCCACTATCTGACGCGGGGCAACTTTATACCAGTCGGATATTTTCGAGAACTAAAAGCCAGCCGATTCAGAAAGTCATATCCCGTATCAATCTCAAAAATGGAGTCCACGGTTTCTAGCCATTTGGTTATCCCGGGGTCTGTTGCGTTCTCTCAATCTCGGTGCCGGGCCATTGCTGCTGATATCAAGGCCCGAGCAGTGCGGGCACAGTGGGTCCATTACATCGATCTCGTAGAGAATCTTCAAGAGCAGCACCGTGCCGTCTTAGAGCAACTCTTACATTACGGAGACATATCCGATGACCCAGCTGCCTTTGAGTCGCTCGAGGGCTCTCATGTTACATACCACGTTGCTCCCCGCGTCGGCACTATTTCGCCATGGAGCTCCCAGGCAACTGGGATCGCACATGTTTGTGGCCTGAAGCAATATGTGAAGCGGATAGAACGTGGCTTGGAAATATCGTGCGTTCTTAGCCATGGAGAGAAAGAATTGGACGCGGAACGTCTCAATATGCTACACGACCGGATGACTCAGATCATCAGTACCAATGAACCGGACCTCCAGGCCATGTTCTCAGAGCATCAGCCTCAGCCACTCGAAATTGTGTCTTTCGAAGATCGAGAAAAGAGTCCAGCTGAGATTCTGGCGGAGGCGAACAAGCGGCTTGGTTTGGCCCTTGACCAGTCCGAAATCGATTACCTCGTCCAAGCATATTCACAAGGTGGCCCCATCTCAAGGTCACCCACGGATGTTGAATTGTTCATGTTCGCGCAAGTGAACTCGGAACACTGCCGTCATAAGCAGTTTAACGCAAAATGGATCATCGACGGGGAAGAGAAGCCTAATTCCCTGTTCGGCATGATAAGAAACACTCATAAGCAGCACCCTGATTATACGATAAGCGCATACAGTGATAATGCAGCCGTTATACAAGGAGAGGAAGCAAGCTACTGGTCCCCAAATCCTTCAACAGGGGAGTGGTCTCAAACCAAGGAATTGGTTCACTTCTTAGCAAAAGTTGAGACTCACAACCATCCCACCGCCGTATCGCCCTTTCCCGGTGCCGCCACAGGGTCAGGAGGCGAAATTCGTGACGAAGGTGCAGTCGGACAAGGTTCAAGACCCAAGGCAGGTTTGGCAGGGTATTGTGTTTCCGATCTCCTAATACCGGGAAATAGACAGCCATGGGAGCTGGATGTCGGGAAACCAAATCATATTGCTAGTAGCTTTGATATCATGATTGAAGCTCCAATTGGAAGCGCTGCATTCAATAACGAATTTGGTCGACCTTGCACAGCAGGATATTTCCGGACTCTACTGACAAAAGTCGATCTTGAAGACGGTGGATCTGAGGTTAGAGGTTATCACAAGCCAATCATGATTGCTGGCGGCGTGGGAACAGTTCGTCCACAACACGCTCTCAAAAACCCCAGAGCGGTTAAGCCTGGTTCTTTCTTGGTGGTTCTAGGCGGCCCGGCGATGTTAATCGGATTAGGTGGAGGTGCAGCCTCTAGTATTACTTCTGGTGAAGGTTCCGCAGATCTAGACTTCGCCAGCGTTCAAAGAGGAAACGCAGAGGTCCAAAGGAGAGCACAGGAAGTCATCAATTCATGTGTGTCAATGGGAGATGACAATCCGATCAAATTTATCCACGATGTCGGTGCTGGTGGACTTTCCAACGCTTTGCCTGAGCTGATTCACGACGCTGGCTTAGGGGCTACGTTTGAGCTCCGTGAAATCGACAATGCGGATAGGGGGATGAGCCCCATGCAAATTTGGTGCTGCGAAGCGCAAGAACGTTATGTCATGGCCGTCTCGGAGGACGGAATGACGAAATTTACAGCAATCGCAAAACGAGAGCGTTGCGGTTATTCTGTCGTTGGCCGTGGCCTCGGTCAACCTGAAGAAGAAAGGAGGCTCATTCTTCTTGATCGAGACTCGAAAGCTTACCCCAAGCCAATTGACCTACCTCTCTCGGTTCTTTTTGGAAAACCTCCAAAATTGACTAGAACTGTAACCTCCAGAAAATTGAAACTGCCTACCTTTGATAGCAGCCTCCAGTCTTATCTCCCAGAGATTCCCGCCAAAGATTTGATAAGCGAAGCAGTGTCGAGGGTCTTACAGCTGCCTGCAGTAGGTTCGAAATCCTTCTTGATCACTATCGGTGATAGAACTGTGGGGGGTTTAACAGCAAGAGATCAAATGGTTGGCCCATGGCAGGTTCCTGTGTCCAACGTCTCTGTTACTGCCACCTCTCTCCTGACCGGCATGAGAACCGGTGAAGCCATGGCTATGGGGGAGAAGCCCACCCTTGCGCTCATCTCTGCATCCGCGTCTGCACGGATGGCAGTGGCAGAATCGCTTATGAATATTGCGGCTGCGGACTTACCCGGCCGTTTAAGCCGAATCAAGCTGTCCGCGAATTGGATGTCCGCAGCAAATCATCCTGGAGAAGGTGCTGCCTTGTACGAGGCAGTTGAGGCTATTGGAATGGACTTATGCCCAAAACTAGGGATTAGTATTCCAGTTGGCAAGGACTCAATGTCTATGAAAATGAAATGGAACGATCAGAATACCGGGAAATCCGAAGAAGTGACCGCACCACTTTCGCTAGTCATATCGGCATTCGCACCTGTATCCGACATCCGCAAGACCTGGACACCAGCTCTACGCAGCTTCGAAGAAGTGGGAGAAACCGTTCTTATGTTTGTTGACCTTGCCGGACGCAGGAGCATGGGTGGTTCAGCCCTGGCTCAAGTCTTTAACCAAGTGGGTAATGAATGTCCAGATGTGCATGATGTTCAGCTTTTCAAAGACTTCTTCGATGCAACTCAGCAACTCCAGGAGACCGGTGTTGTTCTTGCATATCACGATCGCTCTGACGGCGGCTTGTTTACGGCACTGGCGGAGATGATGTTTGCCGGTAGATGCGGGGTGCAAATCATGTTAGACGAGATCTGTTCGAGTGCGAACATGAAAGACGTTTTGCAAACTTTGTTTAATGAGGAGCTAGGTGCCGTATTCCAAGTGCGGAAGAAAGATGAGGGTGTGTTCCGAAGTTGTTTTGCAACTTGCGGCCCTCCACCCGGATTGCTCTTCAGGATCGGACGTGTCGCAGAAAAATCGAAGCAAAACATGGCTATCTACTACGGAGCGACTCTAATTTACCGCAATTCTCGTGCAAACTTACAGCAAACCTGGTCCAATACCTCATACCAGATGCAGAAGATCCGCGACAATCCTTCTGCTGCTGACCAGGAGTATGAAGCTATCCTTGATGACAACAACGCAGGTCTCTCATACAATCTCACCTTTGATCCGAAAGATCCTGCGATGCCACTTCTCAGTAGTTTTAGCGCAAAATTCTCACCATTCGCTACCAAACCTCGAGTCGCTATCCTCCGCGAGCAAGGTGTAAACAGCCAGGCTGAAATGGCATTCGCATTCAACATGGCCGGCTTTTCCGCTGTGGATATACATATGACAGACATCCTCTCTGGGAGGGTTTCCCTTGCATCATTTGTAGGCATCGCCGCCTGTGGTGGGTTTTCGTATGGCGACGTGCTCGGTGCAGGCCAAGGTTGGGCCAAATCAGTCTTACTTCACAAAAACACGAGACAGGAATTCAAATCATTTTTCGAACGGCCAGATACGTTCACCCTGGGCGTCTGTAACGGCTGCCAGTTCCTCAGCCGTCTCAAAGAACTTATACCCGGCGCGAACGATTGGCCGAGCTTCGAACGCAATGAAAGCGAACAGTACGAAGGTCGCGTATGTATGGTGCGCATTTTCGATCCAGATCAATCGTCACCAAGCGTCTTCCTCCACGGGATGAACGGAACTTCACTTCCCATTGCTGTTGCACACGGCGAAGGGCGCGCTTCATTTGCTGGTACAGACAATGTGACCGCCGAGGGTATAGTTAAGCGCAATCTTGCGCCAATCCGATACGTAGACAACACCACGCTGAAGCCAACGATGAAATACCCATTCAATCCGAATGGAAGTCCGGAGGGTATTGCAGGTGTGAGGAGCTTGGACGGCAGGGTCCTTGCCTTGATGCCGCATCCCGAACGGACTATAATCAATGGCGTGG